ATAAGAGTGTGTGTTTCGCTCCATTTTGCTTTTTGTGACTCCAACGGAGGAGATTTGCTGTGTTCGTGAACATCCGTGCGTTTTGTTCGGTTTGAGTCGCAAACTTTTGGTGAGTCTCTCTCTTCTTTAACTTCGTTTATTATATAACCATCCGCACGTTCAGAGCGGTGCCACCAGATTGACGAGTCTTCTGTTGAGTGCTTTGCACTCTGTAGTTCAATCCCTAATAAGGAGCGCAACATATTTTATACATACACACAAAATTCGTATATTTCGATATGTTTCACACATTTGTCAGCATCCTCTCGAACCTCAAAAATAAATAAATTAAAAACGAAAAACCATATAATTTTTTTATCCATTTTGAGCATTTATTAGACATATGTATAGTACTGTTATTTGCCGCACCAGCACCAGGCATATTGTCATACCACATGTTTGTGTAGCGCTAACTGTCAAGCCCAATATACTAATTACTAACCGGTCGGCCATTTCTTTTGCAACGTCAAGAGCAGCGTGTGTTTCTTGATTCTGTTTTCAGAAATAGTTATCAAAGCTGTGTGATTTTGTGTCGCATTTTTAATCAACAAAAAAGAAAAAAGAAAATTACAGTGTAATAACGAAATAATGGAACCCGCAAAAATGGCAAAAAAATGTGATCTTACTTCAAAAATATGTCAGTATTTGGATCGGCATTTAACATTTCCACTGCTTGAGTTTTTGTGTGAAAAAGAGGTATATATATGATTTGTTAGGTTAAAAGTGAAAGATGACATGAACGATATTTTGTTAATTGGCATTCATCAATTGATTGATTTTTAGACCGAAGATCAAAAGGCATTATGGCAACAAATCCTCGATATAGTCAACAAGACCAATTTAATCGATTATACCATGGATATTCGCAAGCGTTTGCAGTTGGGCGATGACATGCCACAAGTAAGTGCATATGTGTAATTACATACAATAAAACTAAAATCGATTTTGTATATCACCTAGGAATTGGCTGATCGTAAAGCAAATGTTTATGCTACTCTTGTTAAATTACAAGAGGAAGTGTCCCAAATTACCGAAATTACGGAAATTTTGAAGGATGCGGACAACATTAAGGATTCAAAAACATTTGTTGAAGAAATCAAAAAGGAATTCGGCGTAAGTTTTTTTTATTTACTAGTAATGGAATTCTTCTTGGCTTTCTCTTGTGAATACTATTTGTGATTTAATTTATTCTCACAGTATCAACCAGAATGGGCCGATAAAGCATATCGCATGGGAAAATATTTCTACGAATGCGGTAAATACATGCAATCAATATCGTATTTGTATTTCTATTCGTTGGTTATGCAACCCACTGACAAGAACTACTTGAACGTATTATGGGGTATTTTGGCTGCTGAAATTTTGCAGTTGAATTGGAATTCAGCATTGGAAAGTATGAACCGTTTACGTGACTACATCGATAATAGCAATTTCAGGTATATATTTAAGTTCAGTATTACGTATGGCAACGATAACAAAATTATTTTAATTATAGTAACATCGAAGCATTGCAACAACGTACTTGGCTGATTCACTGGAGCGTGTTTATCTTTGTCAATCATCCAAAAGGTCGTGATTTAATTATCGAAATGTTTTTGTACAAACCATTGTACTTGAATGCCATCCAAACGATGTGCCCACACATTTTACGTTATTTGGCCGCTGCCGTTGTCATCAATCCGGGTCGTCGTAATGATAATATTTTTCATCTCATCTTTTTTTCAACCAAAAAAGGTACATATTTGAGTAGGGTGAATTGATTCAATGCGGTAAGAGTCTTACCATTCACAATATTCTATTTTTCCAATTCAATTTTGGACTTTTATTATATTTTCAAGCAGTAATTTATTGTGCACCGGTTTACGTATACTTCGAACAACAACAACTACCAGAGCAGGAGCGAATCTAGTGAAATCTCGTTATTATTGTCGGAAAATGGATGCAAAATTGGAAGCCGTACCATTGGTTGATATCGATGATGAAGGTCGCTTCAAATATATTCTGATTAAAGTGTATGGCAAAGAACAAGCCGATGGAACTGAACCCAGTAAACTCATTGTGCGGGGTTACAAAAGAGCTGAATGGCATGGTAATAAAGAACTCACCGTTTATTATTTGTTCATACATTTTTAATGTTCGTGATCTATAACTCATTTCTTTGTATGTTTATTATTGTAGCCGACATTTGCGATTGTAGCCGACATTTGCGATTGTAGCCGATCACGATGAAGCCAGACGTATCCTGTTGACGAAATACGCAAACTATCAAATTGAGACCTCTGATGAAGGATATTAAATTGGGATGAATTTATCGTTTTCATTTTTAAAATTAAAACAGTGGAAAGCATTTTTTTTAAAGGAATAAAAACAATTGAATGGAGAATTCATTGTGTGTACTTTATTTATCGCGTAATAGTTTCTGTAACGCCTCCGTGAATTCATTAAATCACAACGTGAGCACCAAATTCGAAATTAAAAAAAAAAAAAGTATTTTGGACAATTCAATGATTTGCCCGAAATCTTAAACCCAATTCTCTTTTATCTTTAACAGCAACAAGCTAAGGAACAGTTCAAAATTCTTCAAATCTAATGTTACTTACCTTGCTGCAAAATCTGTCATTAAATTTTCTTTAAAGAAATATTTCTACGCAAATAAAACACACTCCATACCATTTTAAGATCAATTTTTGAATTTTAATTTTATTTCCAATAGGCTATTGCACATCAAAGAGCAAAATGCGAATGATTTTTTATTTTATTTTCAATTTGTATTTACTTAATATTCCATGCTCTACATGGTACATTTTTCAACGAATGGAAAGTGGTCGATAGATTGGTGCTGTTTTTGTAGCAATGATGGTATTCATTTCTATTGCCACGATTCCAATAAGAATACACCCTTTGAGTGTTATGATTGTCGTGAAAAACACCGGTCTCTCACAATCATACAAATGCTCGAAGTAATGTTAGCAATGGAACATCAGAAGCAACACACTCACTTCGCACTTATGTGATTTCAACTGATTTGAATACCATTTGTGTTGATGGTACATCTATATTTTTCGTATAATTTTTATTTTTTGTTTTATTTGAATGGCAATTTCATATATGGTTCATCCAACGACGATATAAGGCCACAAAATACGAAAATAGAATAAATTGTATAATCTCATGCACAATGTTGCATGTTGACAGTCGCAGTTTAGCAACAAAATTCCGATATCGATACAGTCCTATAGCGTCATTGGTTAAACTATTGAGTGGATGGGTACTGTTTTCATGATCAATCGATAGCAAATAATCCATTGCATCGAATTATATTATTTATCTTTCAATTTTGATTTGATGGTTATGCCAATAAACACGCTAGATAAGATTGAACAATAAATATTATTGACATTGAAACCATTTATATGGAAATTGTGTGAGCAACATATTTCTTTCTACGTACTATATATTTGAGTGCATCAATCAATCTTAATTGAGGTTGACTTAGTCCTTTGTCATTTGTTTCGTCAAACTGTTTGCGGCATGTGCTAGTTAGGGAGGACCAAAATTTAAAACACCGACTCATTCGATAGAAAACAAATGGGATTAACACTCTAATGCATCATTATTATCATAAAACTCGAACGGTAAATCTTGATAAAATTTAACCATTGCATGAATTTTGAGAATAATTTTAATTTTTCGGTAAAATTATTCATATTTCCTATAGTGACAAATTTGTAATGTTTTTGGTACATTCTAACGTTGAAAAATGTAACGTTTTGGCCCATTCTGGTGGTCATTTTCGTGTCAAATGGAACGGAGATTATATACATAGTTCTCACGAATTCCAATGGAATGGAACCACTTGTTTCTTTTACTTCCAATAATATTTCATTTGAAAAATTGAAAATCCAAATCTTACGCTCGGATAAAAAAATAAACAATTTGTTAGGAAAGAGATTTGCATAATTTAATTTAAAACTTTGCAGAAGAACTCTTTTTTTATACGTCATTTATTGCATTTAATTTTCTTTATTTTTGGAATTAGTATTTTCAATGTTCGAGATGCAACTTACATCTTTCTGACATTTTTCGATTGGCGCGGTGTATATGTGTCAAACCAAATCCAACGATATTCATTTATATGTATTAAAAATGTGCTCGCATCGTGTGACAGTATTGTTAGTATAAACGACTTCCATCAGTTTGAAACTACAATCGCACCAACCGATTTTGTTTACAATAAAACTTTGTTTTGTTTTTAAGAGGATTTCTTGAGAATTAGATGTGAGTGTTTGTAGCGTGGTTTGGGCGATCAATTGATTTTATTGTGATTTCAATTTCAACGATTTTGTGTGTTCGGAACGCTGTTCGCTGAGGAATGGATATATTCACAGTTGGTTTTGTTTTCATTTTTGTTTTAATTTCGAAATAACAGAGTGTTGATAAAATTTACTGTGAATATTCCAACAACATTTCGATCGGGAAAATATTTCATGTCACATTGGAAATAAATTTCCTCATTCGATTTAGAATACAGAGTCACTTTGTTGAGGTAAGACGTGATATTTATAATGCGTTCTTCATTACATATTTAAGGCATAATTGGTGCTATTATTTGAAATTATTTTCAAAAAGTATAAGAATTTGAATTGCAATGAAAATAGAATGAAAAAAATCGAACTATTACTAATTTTAAATAACTTCTCTACTTCTTCTTCATATTCATTTTCATTTCTAGTTTTAGTTTCAGAGATGTTTTTTCATCCAGTTTCAAAGTATTTCTATGATTTATAATAAATTTAATTTAGATTGGGCTACGAAAAACTCCCGCTTTATGTGTTTTTTTCAATTTCCTAATTTTTTTTATGTTACAATGAAAAGATTGCTAAGATTGTCCAGAATTCTCTGAATTTTCGTGATTCTCTATGGAATCTTAAACGCTACCATAATTTATGAGCATTTCGCCGCTTGATGCTGGGCTTGCCGGTGAAACTGATCTATTAACATATTTAAAAATTATATTCAAGGAAATTCTAATTTTCTAGGGAATTTTCAACGCAGCCAGCTTAAATGTACGCTTAATTAGAAGCTTACACAATAAATTTCGAGTTTTATACCTGATTATATGGCCTGGCGGTGACGAACCTTCTTCAGAGATATTTAACGAGCCTACAGGTGAACCTGAATTTGGTGAAAAACGAAATAGACAATTTTTGCTTTTTTATTTGAATGGCTCGCTAGAGAAGAATCCGTAATTTAAAACAATGAAGTTATTGGATAATAAATTCAATAATAATAGAATTTGTGTGTCGATAAGTGGCAAAAGTACGGCGATAACATGCGATAAAATGCCATTGATATAGAAAGGAAAATTCAGTTTTCTTGTAACTTACAAGTTGTAAGAAAATGTTTTGCCAAAAACATTTCGAAAATTAGTTTGACATAAAATAAACAAATAAATAATTCTTACCGTTTTCTGCTGGTGCGCAACTCGACTTAGTCATTACTACTTCGTTGCCATAGATATTATCATTCTTCAATAATTCGTCAGCAACTTGTTCCGAGCCCAAATTAAACTGAAAGAGCCAGTTCATGCCAGCCACTCGACGGCATGAAATTTCACAAATTTCATCAAGCTGAAATCAAGACATGAGTACGATTAACTTCATTTATATTTTTTTCTTTTCATTTCACTTACATCAAAAAAAATTTCAATATCTACACAACGTGTGTGACATAGAACCTGGATTGAACATGGATGATCTTCTGCCTTTTTTACGTAAATAAATTGACCGTTAATAATGTGCACTGAAATATTCACAGCTCGTTCAATTGCCTCTGCTGAATTGAAAACGATGTAAGCAAATCCTCGTGGACCCTTTTTTATTGGATCTTCTGGAACTTTAATCCTTTCAATGCAACCGTATTGTCCAAAATACTCTTGCAAACGATCTGTAAGAAGGAAAAAAAAAATGAGATTAGTTCAATTGAACATTTTTCTCTAAACGATTCATTTAGTTTAGATATGACATGAGTATATATTTTTCAATCACTCACTTTCTGTTTCGATAATATTTCCAAATCCATTTTCACGCAGCCCACCTACGAACAATTCTCTGCAAATTAGAAATAAATCGGTCAGTAATAATTCAAACATCATTTATTTATTTGAAAAATCCCAATCGAATGTTTTGTATTCAAAGAGAATCAAAATAACTATTGGCACATGTGATCGCATTTGCAGTCCATTTGTATGCAGCTTTACAGTATAAACACACGACAGTGAAGTGAGTGTATGCATGGCTGCCAAATACGCTTGCAAATGTACCTTAACGTATGAGTATAACATTTCCCCCTAGCGTTATCATCTTTGTGAATTTCACATAATTTTTATTTTAAATAATTTTCTTCTCTTCTCGTTATTCGTCTAAAGAAATTGATTTTTGAATTATTGTCTCCTTTTTTGTCAATTAAAATCAATTAAGGGCATATTTCGTTGTTCGTTTCCAGTGAAAGTGCAATTATTCACTTCTTCAAATGTCAAGCAACTGCTTGAAAGCCAAATCTAAAACAAATTAAAGAACGCACACAACAGAAATTGGCTACACTTGATTGAAAATATTAAGGAAAAACCGGCTACGGAAATTCACCGTGTTTTAGGGTACACTTCTAAAAGAATTCTTCGGATATAACAGAAAAAAATTGATTACATTTCTAAATAGCTTGGTTTTATTCGGAGATTTTTGCAATTTTGTTCCATCAATGGCTATTTGGCTGAGCCATTTTTAACTCACCTGTCGTCATTCCTTCCTGATGGTGTTCCAACTTGTTGGGATTGTCCTTCCGCGTTCTGGCCATCATTTCCATTTTCTGTTCCGTGTAGATTACCATTCTCACTGGCTACATCATTGCCGATGAAATATTGATCGTCTTTCACATCCTGTGAGAAACCCTCTTGCAAATATTGATTGTTTGCCATTTTATTTTTGTTTGTATTTCGATGTTATTGTTTTGAAATATTTGAAATGAATATTCAACTAACAAAAATAAAATTTATTCAAATATTTCCTATTTTTTTGTACTTTTTCAAAATGTTTCTTACACACGTAGAGTGAATGATATTAGGCATACATTGAAATGACGACTCAATCAACACTTTTGACACTTCAAATGGCTTTCGTATCGGACCACTTAAGTACATACGTACAAATATAACGGATGGTTCACATCATACACTGAAACGTTGCCCATTTAAACTTTTGTGACATTCAAACTCGCATGCATTTGAAACTATTTCGGTTTTTTTGGGCTTATTTTTGGAGAAAGAGAGATTCAAATATAGGATTTTGTTTGTATGTCGGAAAAATTTGATCATAATAAGAGAGTTGCATATTACAACATGTGAACCATCCGTTACATTTGGTATTTCAAACTCAACAGTTCACGGTATTTTGGCAAAAAAACAACGTTTTTTTTTATCGGAAACGTCAACGAGCACCCAAATATACAGCGAAACAATTCGAAAAAATACCAAAATGTTGCCGTGCACTTCGTGACAAACACTTTACGAATGGAAAATCCATAATTTTGAATGATGAATCGTACTTCACATTCCCGCATCATGAATTGAGTGGAAACGATGGTTTTTATACTGACAACATTGAAACAACACCAGACAATGTTAAATATGCAGACAAAGCCAAATTCGAGCCAAATGTGTTATTGTGGGTGGCCATTTCAGAGAAGGGTGTCTCAGTGCCTTTGATTCGACCAAACCAAGCAAAAGCGATCGATGCTGACATTTATATCAGTCAATGCTTGCCGAAATTGAAGCATTTCATCGAAAAATATCACGCTCACGACGAAATCATGTTTTGGCCGGATTTTGCAAGCAGTCATTATGCAACAAAAAACATTGGATTGACTGAATGAGCAAAAAGTGCCATTTGTATCAAAAAATGATAATCCCCCAAACGTACCACAGGCACGTCCAATCGAAAAATTTTGGACCGTTCTCAAACGTATGGTCTATGACAATGGCTGGTAAGCTCAAAATGAGCAACAGTCAGGGTATACTTACTTTAAAAATTACTATTCCATTATTGAAAAATGCTATCCATTCTTTCGATTATTTTTCCATTACACTCATTACATCCATTTCAAAAAATCACAATATCAATATCTATTTAGTATGTAAGAAAGTAGTAAGGGTTTGATCACATATATACACACATAAATTAAAAACAATTTGCAAATGAATTGAACGAAGGTGCGTTAGCAAACACTTTGCTGACAAAAATTGAGATTTGGTAGTGGTAGTAGCAGTGGAGAGAACAACACACAAGGAATCAATATTGTACTGTACACACAGTAGCATTGCATCGGAACAACGTCACAACAACGACAACATGGAGACGCAAACGGATAAACGAAAACTGTATCAACAGTAGCTAACGCATTCGCTGTCCGATATCGGCTACTTGCAACGACAAACCGATTTGAATGTGTTGGTGTGAGAATTTATTTGACTGTGACATTCCAACCCAACAAGTCGGCAACAAGTCACATCGTGTCGAACCATCACCAGTGTAAGAACTAAAATTGCTGCGCATAAATTTTCATTTTACATCGAAAGTGAAATATTCTGTCGAATTGGATTTTTGTCGGTTTTTCCAGAAAAAGTATTCGGTAAGTATTATTTTAAAATATAATATTAAACAGAATTTTCGAATTTTTTTTAAATTGACTGCATGGTAGAATGAGATTGAGATAGAAAGAAACACATTGAACACAATACAAAATCAAGTTAAATCATGAATTTCCAACCGGCTAAGCCTATGAAGAGACAAAATGCGAATTCCCCTCATCTGTGCCATCTTGTATTCCATAGTTGAACTCAATTTAGTTACAATGAATTGAATCGAAAAAGAGAAAAAAAACAACAACAGTAACATGGCTACATAGATCTGTTGACCAGTGAGATACGTATAGCAATGGAATGAAAGAATGAAGAAAGCGTATATGTGTGTGTATGCATCAGCACGCATAGATGTACAGCTCTGTGTGGCCGTGCTATTGTTGTTGTTTTTTCACTTTTTCATTTCAATGCTACAGAATTAAATTCAGTTTTTGCATCTAATTCACACTAAAATCAGATGGCGCTCATTAGCGAGATTCGCAAAAAAAAGTCTCCAATCTCATACAAATATACACCGGCTGTGAATTTCATCATTGCGCACAGTGGATTACGGGTACCGTTAGCCAATAGTGCGACGCAGTTTCTTATGATTTTTCAAAGCCTACTTTGACTACGATATGCAATTGAATGTTTCTTTTTTTGGTTTTTTAAAGATTTTTTTTTTGTTTTCAACATTCATTCATTGACAGGAACAACAAATGGGACACATCAAATGTCGAAGAAGAATATGGACACATTTTTAGTTCTTACACTGGGAATCGTTCACAAACCGACCACAAACGATGTCAGAACCTGGAAAATATGAATACAAAGGATCGGTAAGTTTTTTTTGCATTGCGTTTTCTTCATTGTAAAATGAATCTAAATTCTATCGGATCAAATTTGTATTGATCAGTTTCTTAGTTTGCCCCAACTACGAACCGGTCCGCTATCGTGTTCTTTTCGGCAACCATACAAACACACTGAGCAATAGACCGATACCATAAATCGGTGAATATGAATACAAAGGATCGGTAAATGTGTTTTTTTCGGAATTGCATTTTCTTTATTGTGAAATGAATTTTAATTCTATCGTATCGGATTTGTATCGATCAGTTTTCTAGTTTGCCCCAACTATGAGCCGGTCCACAATCGTATTCTTCCCCGGTACAAATAAAATGAATATCCTCCTCGGCCGTCTCCCGTAGTTTACTCCGTCTACGAGTAATTTACGTGTGTGAGTAAGTGTAATTTGGTCTAATTGTTTTTTTTATTTCAAATATTTACAGTTTGTGATGAATATCCAAACAGACGGTACATTGGATAAAACCTCAATTGACCAAATGAGTGAATCGGACGTCTCCATCACTCCATCACAAGAGGCGACCCTTCTAGGTGAGTCTAAAACGGACATCATGGAAGTGGATGACAAGTCGGAAATGGAGCCTCAAGGTGAGAAGCAAAGTGGTACTAGCCAAGTAACGGAAAAGACTACCAACATCAAGTCGAACGTCTCCATGGCAAAAAATGAAATCACCATTGCTCTCAAAACTGGTGCCAAAATTGATACAAAGTCTGACAATTCTGGTAGCAAACGCAATCGTACGCGTTCAAAAGCGAAGCGTACGGTTGCCAAAAAACATGCCGACGCGGTTGGAAGGGTGCAGTCACTGAGTACCCCGGGCAAACGAGAACGTGAGTCTGGTGGCACACCACCCAGTGCCCAGCACCCAAATAAAAACAAACGAGTTGGTACTTCGGCAGAAACACAGGTTAATAAACCGTCGACTGTATCTGCTACAGCCACTAAGGTCACACCGAGCAACAGCTCGTTGAATGCGACTGTAGTTAAAGCCAAAAATGTTGGAAAAGGTGCTCAAAAAGGTGTAGTAGTACCACCTGCTCCAAAGGAACAGTCGATTGGTTCTACTGAAACTACACGTGAAGCACCATCCCAATCAAATGTGTCAGTACCACCTGGTGTCAGCCAGTTGTCTGGTGCTGATTCAAACAATATCGAGCAAAATGTAGTTGATGAGATTGATGATAACTATGCATCGGTTGTAAAAAACCTGAGTGTGGCTATTATCGATCAACGTCAAGAAAACTCGATGACAATGTTGGATCAGAAAAGATTCGACACTTTAAACACGCTTTTGGTCGACCTAATGATGTCACAAGTGAGTAAAAACATCAAATTACCACAAATTGATGACGCTCGCTTACATCTGGGTACAATGCGTGTTCGCTGCACTGATCCATATACGATTCAATGGCTGGAAAAATACGTTCCAACCATTGATGGTAATAAGTTATGGAAAGGTGCAAAATTGGTAGTCGTCGATTTTAAAGACATTCCGAATTCGCACACTATTCTATACACAATTCATATGATATATTATGTTTTAATTCTAAATTAAATTTTATTTATCTATATAAAAAAATTCTATATTTTTATTATATTATTTAGGTTTTTTTAAATTATGAAAAATCAAGTAAAGTGTTTACAAACAATTTTTTAAGAAACGCAATTCGATGTGCGATTATTTCGTAACTTGAAAAGTTCTATTACTTGGATTTCGTGTATAGAGATGGCGCCACGTTGGGCTAAGTTCGGCTTAATAACACAGAAGCCCATATGACGCAAGTCAGGGTTGCTATTCACCCGGTGGTGACAAACCAAGAACATGCATTGTAGCAACTAAAGACGTATCATTAACTTTACTACCTCAGTACTGCAATGGTGATACCACTTCTGTAATTTATAATACAGACAAACAGGGAAATAACGAAGAGTTGGTTTTAAGCTCAGCTTATCTTCCATACGATGCGCAAGAAACTAGACCGGGCGTAATGGTCTCCGAACTCACAAAGTGTCTGGGCGATCAGTGATTCTCGGTTGTGACACAAACGCGCACCATACTCTATGGGGCAGTAGCAACATAAACAAGAGGGGTGAAGAACTAATTGAATTTTTAGCCTCAACAAATCTCGAAATTCTTAACCGAGGAAGGGAGCCTACCTTCATTACAGGAAATAGATCGGAGATTTTGGACGTGACTTTTGCCAGTCGCGACTGCATTGACAAAATTGGCAACTGGCACGTCTCTAAGGAAGAGACACTCTCTGATCATCGTGAGATAAACTTCACGATAAACAGTGCACGTTCAGAAAGTTCTCTTTACAGAAATCCAAGAAGTACCAATTGGAATGATTTTTTACATCATCTCCGTACGAAATTGGATACAATAGCATGGAATGATAATATAAATACAACACAAGAGCTAGACTGTGCGGTTGAAAAACTATCAGACTCTCTCCATGATGCATTTATTACCTCATGTCCAGGCAGAAATAGTAAACCAAAGGTAAACCATTGGTGGAATAAAAAGCTTAAGCTACAAAGGCGAGAATGCAGGAAACTGCTTCGCCAGTATAGGAACAGTCCAGAAAATACTAAAGGTATGAAATGGGCGGCCTATAAAGCAAAGCGAAACGAGTACAACTCTGAAATAGCATCAGCTAAGAGAGACTCATGGGTGAAATACTGTAACGAAATAGAAGGCGTTACTGCTATGGCACGAGTACACAAAATACTGGCAAAGGACTCCCTTAATATGCCAGGTGTACTCAAATATCCGAATGGCGAGTATACAAACTCACATGAGGAAGCGGCCAAACTGCTTTTGGACACTCACTTCCCAGGGAGTGAGTTGATAAACACAGTGGACACCGCACACAGGTTTGGGGAATTAAATTTCCAGGACGAAGTGGTCACAAGAGAAATTGTCACTTACGATAGAACTCTATGGGCCATCTCATCTTTTAAACCATACAAATCACCGGGTTTTGATGAAATATTTCCGGTATTGCTACACAAAGCTTGGCACATAATACATGGTCATTTAATGTCCATATATATTGCGTCCATAAAACTTGGATACATCCCCAAGTTGTGGCAAAGAGTGAGAGTAGTCTTTATACCGAAGCCGGGTAATGATGATTACTCCTTGCCAAAGTCTTTCAGACCGATTAGTCTTACATCTTTCCTTTTAAAAGGCTTGGAAAGACTAATTGAAAGATATCTGTCGGACTACTTGAAACAAAACTGTCCTCTATTCGATGGACAACACGCATTTCAGCAGGGTAAATCAACTGAAACTGCCATACTAATGAAATACGTAGTTTTGCGGTTCGACGCGCCACCTGTAATATGTCAAATGAACGTACCGAACTATTTCAGTACGCATCTATGTTTATAACAAACAACGACAATAATTCATTACTGGATTTTTATTAATTTTTGTTGCTAAAATAATTTTAAACAACTTTACATGCATAATAATAATAATATAATTTTCTTTAGTTTAATAAAAGTTACCGAATGTTGATTTTATGCAATTCTTCGCTTGAATGTGATTGAAATGTATAGTCCGACTCCAGCAGCTGAATCAAGATTTTTTTTGTTTCAGTGTAGATATTTCAAGAATTTATTCATTTAACACGGATAAAAGTAGCGGTTAAAAAAATGAAAGATAAAACCAATTTATAAAATAAAAAATGTCTATTCTGAATTTATGTGCACATCGAGCTGCTGAAGTCGCTAGCATAAGAACAAAAATGTCAATTCAAATGGACAGTTTGTAGCGAATGGAAAAATGTTATTTTTTTAGAACATGACCAATTTTGAATCAAATCGTGAATTAATTATTTTTATCCATCCGAAAAAAATAATTAAAAAGAAGATTTTTTGAGTTTTTCAGAAATAAAAATCATTATTGAATGTTGCTTTTTGAAAAAACAGCTGCTGGACTCCAGCAGCTGGATGACACTACTGGTACGCGTAGCAGCTGTCAAACTTGACGTTTCACTGCTATGGAAACTGCTTTACATTCCCTGTCAAATATGATAGAGGACACTATAGCTAATAAGGAATATGCGTTGGGGACCTTCCTCGACATAGAGGGGGCGTTCGATAACATTTCCTTCGATGCTGTTGACGAAGCAATGGAGCAACGTAATGTGAATATGGTCATAAGAAGATGGACACAAAGTCTACTACGATCTAGAGCCATCACATACGAGTCCCATGGAAAAAATGCAACCGTTATACCCAAAAGGGGAACTCCACAGGGAGGAGTCATCTCACCAACATTGTGGATCCTGGTTATGGACGAACTCCTAACGATGTTACATCGGGAGGGGTTTGAGATAATAGGTTATGCAGATGACTTAGTCATTATATGTCGTGGGAAATTCCTAGGAACCCTGTGTGAAAGAACACAAAGAGCATTATCAATCGTAGAGCGATGGTGCATTAAAATTGGTTCATCGTCTAATCCGAATAAAACTGAAATGATGATTTTCACAAATAAAAGGAAACTGTCAGACTTCAAGGCCCCCAAGTTATTTGGCAGAAGGATCCAGTGGTCCAGAAGTGTAAAATATTTGGGTATTACTTTCACTCCAAATCTCAACTGGAGTAATCACCTTGAATACCGCATTAACAAATGTATAAGGGTCTTCTGGGCTTGTAGAAGGGCAATAGGAAGGAATTGGGGGCTAAACCCAACAAACCTCCTGTGGCTTCATACAGCAATTGTTAGACCAATGATATCGTATGGATCGTTCATATGGTGGAAAGGCACTACATCGGCGATGGCACAGAAAGCTCTTTGCCATCTTCAGAGGGTTGTGTGTATGGCAATAACAGGAGCTGCCAAAAGTGCATCACAAGTAGCACTGGAAACTTTGCTAAATATTCCACCATTGGACAAATTCATCACAGCCGAGGCACAAATAACAGCATTTCGGTTAAGAACAATCATAAACTTGGAAAGAGTACGGCACTACAATCACTCGAATGCTATAGAGAGATTGTATTCTTATGAACCGTTCCTACAAGCTCCAAGCGACAGGAATCCACCTGCATTATATTTCGAAAAACCTTATCGTGTAATTTTACCGACAAGGGAGGCAGAAATGATGGAGGAAAGGCCTACTGTCACACAAATCGATAGATGGTTTACAGATACTTCAGTAAACATAATTGGATCTGGATATGGCTTTTGGAATGAAAGCACAGATACGGAATACTGTGGATACCTTGGCCTATATGCTGATATTTCACAGGCTGAGTTGTCTGCTATTCTAAACTGCAGTATAGAAATAGCAAATGACAATCTCAGCACATCACCCATAGTGATTCACACGGAGAGTTTGTATGCTATTAAAGCATTAAACGACTTCAAAGTGGACACCAAACTTGTGTTAGACTGTATTACATTACTAACGCAGATAGCGCAACGTAGGGAAGTAACCCTAAAATGGATTTCACCTCAAACCCAAACTCAGGGACAAATGAGGGCGGCCATTTTAGCCAAAAAAGGTGCTTCGCAAAGAGCATATGGTCCCGAACCCTTTCTTCCTTGGAACGAAAGGAAATGTAGGAACATATGTAACAAATGGTTACAGGAAAGTATTATCATACGATGGCGTAACACAAATACATGCTCAACAACTAGAAGTTTTCTAACGACACCTAGTAAAAAGATTGCATCACAACTACTTAGTTTAAGTAAAATGAAACTAAGTTATACCATAGGTATCCTAACAGGTCATATTAGACTGAATGCACACTTGAAGCGCATTGGAGTTAGGGATGATCCAGATTGTGACCTTTGCGGAAGAAATGAGGAAACCTCAATTCATTTCCTGTGCACATGTACACAACTAGATCGTACCAGAGTTACTATTTTTGGTAAGGGGACGATCAATCCAGAGGAAGTCTTAAAATTTGATATTTCAAAAATTTTTAGCTTCATCAAAGAGACGGGTAGATTCTCTCAACTGAGGGACACCCCCCCTTTACTAAATAACGATAGACAAGTTACAGGGAACGATACTTTTAATGTAACACAACCCACGTAATAGTGTCGCAACATTAAACCTATGGATGATTATATTATCAATCGGTAGGAACGAGCTGTTTTACTCTTTCTCCACGGGTAGCTTTGCAATAGGTCCTTGACCTTCGCGACGAGATTTTCTCTTTTGAGTCTTTCTCCCCACTATAATCCATACATCCATACAAGTGTCGTTTGGTTTCACTCATTGTAGACCGATTGATATATTAATGGTGATATTTTTTTTCTTTCCATTCTTTTTTTAATTGATATAGGTAGTGGCCTTGGCACCAAGTGCTATTCTATAGTAAGCATTTTGTTTTAAACTATACATATTTGATTTTCATTATATGTTTCCATTACTTCCATTACGTTCCATTACATATTGATTAGTTTCCATTATTTCCATTCTTTTCTTTGTGATTAACCCTAGGCAACAGTTGATCAATAGAATCACGAAAAAGTTGAAGGAAATCGATTCATCGGTCCGCCAAAACCTGATTAGGAACATTCGCTCCACACTACGAAAAATCGAGGATCATGGCCCATTAAGTGTACTGTAAATGTATTGTTCGACAGTTTATGAACAGAATAAATACGATTAAAAGGAATTTGAAATCCATTTATTTCTTTTCAAATGCTTTTGAAGTTAGTGCAAATGTTTTCCGAATACATATTATTAAAGCACTGAATTGCATGTCTTCAATAATTCTTCTGCATTTTATTACAATTGAAAAAAAACCGTTTTCGGAAATAATTGGACACTTTTTAAATTTATCTGCAGATTTAAAAGTGCTATTATTTATATGTTTAAATATTTAATAAAAAAATATTTAATTTTTAATAAAAACTGAATGTTTATAGAATAGTTCAAACACAAACCTTTCATTGCATGTTAGCTTCCCTCTATTTATAGTGAACTGTGATTCAATGAAAATCTGTTCATTTTCAGATGCATAGGAATTACTTTTGTTCTGTTATTTTGAATAACGTCTTCATAATTGTAGTTCTCAAAATTATCAAAGCATCTTCAGCTTCATTTAGTGGCACTTTTTTATACTGTTATTGATACTATTTTCATCTACATTCGCAGTCACATCACTTTAAGCCAAAGCTTCGGTAATCTTTGAAATATATTTAGAATATATAAAAGTGAAAAGCGCGAAGTTTTGAAAAAGAGAAAATACCATATTTATGTTACCGATATGGTGCATTTTGCAAATTATGTTTTTAAGTTATAAGCATTCGAATTTAATTGTAATTAAATGTATACATTTTAAGTTAAAATTGTAAATAGAAGAAAGATTAAAATTTCGATATCGAAATAACAGAGCATTTATCCAGATTTAGATGCAGTTTGTTTGTTACGCACCAAAGTTTTAATTTGTCGATCGATGATTGGAGTTTAACGGCCTCCTTCGTGTTTGTAATTGATGTTGCTAATTTCAAGTCGTCAGCAAACAGAGAGATAAAAATGTTCGAATTTTCAAACTTCAATATTACTTTTCCGCACAAACCTAGTGTGTAAGGGTAACGAATCGGTCAAAAAATTAACAACTATCAAAAAGGTGTTTTCTGGGTGTTTTCGGGGCCAGGGAACATGAATCTGGCGTTTTTTCGATGTCCGAATGTATGTGCGTACCCTGTACGAGGGTAACTATTTAAGTTCGAATAATATATAGGAAAGCGTAATGGTTTTTTATTAGAAATGGCTTTATTGCTTTTCAAAGTATTCTCCAGCATGAGACACCTCCAAAACATGGTTTTAGAATGCCTCAACGGCTTCTTCGGGCGTAGAAAATCGTTGCCCACGCATTTTGTTTTTGATGTACGGGAATAAAAAGAAATCGTTGGGTGCCAAATCAGGGCTGTACGGTGGATGGTGCATTAATTCGATCTTTTCATCGGTCAAATAATCAGTTGTTTGCTTTGATGTGTGAGAGCTCGCATTGTCATGGTGAAGAATGATTCGACGATGTTTGTTTGTTTTCCTCAGTGGAACTTCAAATCACATATTGAGCATGTTACGGCTGAGGCCAAAGCAAGACTGGCTTGGTTAAAGTTCTGCGGCAAGGATTTCGTCGACCCCATGGACAATTGACCGTCTCTACATTATATTTGTACTAACAATTATTGAATATGGAGCAGAAATTTGTAATCCACACTACGAAAATATGTGCAAAAGAATAGAGTCAATATAAAAACAATTTTTACTATTTGCGAAAAAGAGAATGAACTGGAACAGCTATAGACTACCGAATTATGAATGAATACAAATACAAATGATTACGCTTGAAGAGATACGCAAGATGGAGCAAGTGTCTTTCATCTTCAAAATTATTCATTGAGATATGAAGTCAACTCAGTAGTGTATAAATAGCGGTTTCATCCATACCGGTTTTGGCCACGCCCCAAAACAACTATTTCTCTCTCTCTCTCTCTCAACTGGTTGACCTTGTTTTTCTGTTATCATATTTCCATATACTCGTTTCGAATATGTAAATTCATATGGCAACGAAAATGCTTACCATGTATTTTGTTGTTGGATTCGTTTAGAGTGTGCCAATGTATTTTTCATATGTTCATGCAAAGTGAAAAAAAAACTACTATGCTTTCAAAATGTAAACAAAAGATCTTAAAACGCACCAAGTGTTTTACGTATTATTTTTATTTTGAGAGAAAAAAGTAGGCATATATTTTCTCGTTCTTTTTTTTCTTTTGAATAGTTGTCATTTCAAATCAAAACATGGAAACATGTAAGACAAAAATCTATATTAATGCACTTTTTAAAATAAATTCAAAAGCAAAACCATTATTCGATAGTTTCTCAATGAAGTTAAGAAGCGGACGTTTAATCGATTTTAAAGAGAAAAAAACAAAAACAAACAATTCTAGTGAACATCACCAAAGAAGTGGATGTGTATTTAATCAAGAAAACTCAAACATTTTTAGTGAACAAGAAGTTATTCAAGCAACAACTGATTCGTTTCCTAAAATTCTCGGCATAATTGGTGCTATTATTTGAAATTATTTTCAAAAATCATAAGAATTTGAATTGCAATGAAAATAGAATGAAAAAAATCGAACTATTACTAATTTTAAATAACTTCTCTACTTCTTCTTCATATTCATTTCCATTTCTAGTTTTAGTTTCAGAGATGTTTTTTCATCCAGTTTCAAAGTATTTCTATGATTTATAATAAATTTAATTTAGATTGGGCTACGAAAAACTCCCGCTTTATGTGTTTTTTTCAATTTCCTAATTTTTTTTATGTTACAATGAAAAGATTGCTAAGATTGTCCAGAATTCTCTGAATTTTCGTGATTCTCTATGGAATCTTAAACGCTACCATAATTTATGAGCATTTCGCCGCTTGATGCTGGACTAGGGGGCAGACACGTGGAATAGGATTAAACTTTTAGTGTAAATATTAGAGAAATTGCAATGAAATAGCAACGTCTGTGAATGGATTCGCGTGGAATAGCGAAACAGTGCATGGAATAGCAAAAATTGTTTCACTTCAAATCCATTTGACATTTCTTTTGACGTTTATTGATGGATTAGTGGAACAGTCCGGAATAGCAGAATTAACATTTTTGACGGAAACAGTGCATGGAATAGGAAAAATAGTTTCGATTTCACATTTGTGTTTTTGGATTTGTGGAATAGCTGGATTAGTAATTTATATAGTGGATTCGGAATTTATTCTTGGTGTCTCCCCCCTAGATGCTGGACTTGCCGGTGAAACTGATCTATTAACATATTTAAAAATTATATTCAAGGAAATTCTAATTTTCTAGGGAATTTTCAACGCAGCCAGCTTAAATGTACGCTTAATTAGAAGCTTACACAATAAATTTGAAAATCATCGTCGAAAAACTAAAGAATGAAATTAAACTATTGAAGGATCATTCTGGTAAATACTTTTTTTTCTCACTTTTCTTTTCCACGTATTTTTTTAAATACAAATTCTAGGTAACGGTGACCTATCAAAGTTG